AGACAAGTTGTCTGATACCGAAACTGTAGTAGGGCCTATAACAGTGGAGCCCAATAAAGTATATAACGAACCAAATCTGTGTGCTTTCATGATCAAACGAGCACCTTGAAAAATTTTCAGAACTCCACCTTCACCAGTGAATTTGCACCCAAGGGATTCTAAAGTGCCCAAAGATATGAGATTTTTCTTCAACTCAGGAACATATCTAACATCGGTGAGAGTTCTCACCACATCATCATGCATTCTGACCCGAATTGTACCTTTACTAATAACGTTACAAGTAACATTGTTACCTAATTGGACAACTCCACCTGCAACTGAATCATATGTAGAAAACAAGTCCCTTCTAGGACACATATGATATGAACAACCGGAATCTAAAATCCATTCATTGTCTAATCTGAAACTAGTTTCAGTGGCTAAAAATATAGTTCCCTCAATCTCATCAGTTGCTACACTAGCTTCGGCGGTGTTAGTATTTTTGTGCTCATTTTTTCTTTCCTTATGCTTTTCTTTATTTTTCAGCTTATAGCATTCGGAGATAATGTGACCTTTCTTATGACAATAGCAACACTGTAAATTATTGTATCTGAATATGGAGTCGGAGTTGCCCCTAACAAACAAGCCAACTTCCGTTTGAGTTCCACTAGCTTCCCCAGTAATATCACTATCTATTTGTTCCTTTGATTTTAAGATAGATTTAATATCCTTATAAGAGATATTATCCTTTGCATAAAGCATAGTATCTCTTATATGCATAAAAGAGGGGGTAGAGAACAAAACAGTAACACGGCTTGATCCTCATCTTTAATTTCAAAATCTATATTACTCAAATTCATAAGAATGGAATCAAATGTGTCAAGATGAGAGAGAATAAAGGTACCTTCACCCATACGAATTGTATAAAACTTCTGCTTCAGGTAAAGTCTATTTTCCACCGTCCTCTTCATATATAAGTTTTTCAATTTTTTCCACATGCCTTTAGCTGTGGTTTCTACAGAAACTTCACGTAAAACCTCATTTGAGAGATTTAAAATAATACATGTTTTTGCCTTTTTGTCTATGATGGCAAACTCCTCGTCCGTCATTTTATCCAGCTTCTTCTCCTTTCCTTGCAATGCCAAGTCTAAGCCATCCTGAATTAGGATAGCTTCCATCTTTAATTGCCACATTCTGAAGTTTGCTCTTCGGTCAAATTTCTCAACATAGGTCTTTGTTAAAGTCATTTTGGCTATTGAGACTAACCCGGTTAGATCCGGCTCTGATACCAATTTGTTAGGATCGAGAACCCGGGTAGTGCGGAATATAGCCAAACAACGGTATAATGACAATAACAAAGACAATTGAAGTTGATAACGACGACAATTAAAGTAGATAAAGAAGACACAAATTTAACGTGGTTCAATCAAAGTGACCTACGTCCACAAGCGGAGAGGAGCAATTTACTATAAGAATAAGAGTACAAAAGAGAGTACAAAATTAGAGTAAACACTCTAATTAATCCTAAATACCCTAAGAGAATAACCTCACAAGATCACTCCAAAGAAAGAGTTCACACAAGTGCTTCCCAACACTTAACTCTCATACAAAACACTCTTAATAAAGGAAGAAAGGAAGAAACAAGAATTGAAGACAAGTCTTGTTGGTGTGTCTAAAATGAACTAATGTCCTTCCCTTTTATAGGCAAAAAAGTCTTGACCTCTTAGGTGTAAAAGAAGAGATACAACTTGTGCAAACGATGTCCAACACACAATGCAATATTTTTGGGTCCCAAAGAATATTGCCAACAAAGTCTACACTTTGCAAAGATGCTTATGTTTATGTGAGATGGACTCCATTTGACAAAATAATGGCCATATTACAGAATGTAGCAGTCGTTCGTAAAGAAACATATGCATAAGCTAATAATAGATAAGTTGTTTTGCTGTAAGTTGAAAGGTCAAGATGTTATAATAGAATTGAAATGCTTTGAGTTCAAATCACAATGATTTCCTGACCACTGTTTTCCCAGTTAAAACATTCCCTATTTCCTTTTTCACTGTATAATAAATATTGTGCAGAGATTATCCAGTTGCTATGCCCCCAACGAATTGCATGTAGAAGAGATATAAGAAACTATTAAGAGTGATGATGTATTAGAAAACTAGAAAGCATGTGGCTTAGAGTTTATAGGAATCAAGTGCAAAAACAGTGACTCCATACGATTGCATGGATAGATGATAATGCAGGCTCTTTCAATCACGAAGTTGTTTGAACAACATTTTCCGAACTCAGAAATCCTACTTGTATAAATAAAAACAATAAATGGGTAACATTCCTTGTGTTGCAACAGCTTCTGATGAAAGAATTAGTGACAATGCACTTCGGAAGTGTTAGCTATCAGTCACAACGACAACAACAAACCCAGTGGAATCTCACAAGTGGGGTCTAGGTAAGTGTTACCTATCAGTGTACAGTAATAAATGAATCATTCTTTATGAAGATTCACTACTTGGAGGATTTTATGTTGAAGTTAGCCACTTGAGGCCCAAAGAATGCAAGTATGCTAATAAACAAAGCCAATATACTGACAATGATTAATACTTGGGTATAATTTGTCACAAGAATGCCTAGTGCAGTCAATCAATTTGATGGATTGGAAGAGATTAGTCAGACCATCTCGCTATGTCTGCTATGAATGACAAGAATGCTGAATTCCATCAAATAACTGGTGAGTTGGAGGAGATCAATCCAAGTATCTCGTTATGTAAGCTATGATTTGTCACGAGAAAACCACCAGAAGGAAATATAGTTCTCCGCGCAATTTGATCTGCAACAAAATCAATTGAACTTCCTTCCCAGTCAGTCACCTGAAAAGATTTTGCACACAATGAATAACTAGGAAAAACAGCAAGTCGGACCCGTTTATTTTACAAAATAAAGAATTCTGCAGAACAGGATTCATGTTAATTGATGTATAGTCCCACACTTCCCATCAAGTTGAAGGACAAAGGATATAGTTAAAGCCTTAAGAAGGAGAAGAATCAAGTAAAGAATCAAAGGGCACAAAATTCTCCCTTGCTTTACATCCTATTGTGCCAAATAACCAAGGTTGCGAGCAGGTTACATCTGAAAGTTGTACACGCTATGGGGAAGTATCAATACTAGTGCATGGAGGGTCATGTAAGGATCGATATGATAGAAGAGCTATGGTATATTTCATGCATTTGTTGCCTCTGATTAACAAAAGAGAGTTTGTATCAGGTAGCACATAGTCATTATCATATCTAAGAAGAAGAATCCTATTAAGATCACACAGAAATATGAAAACCGTTCCTTTTGTGTGATCTGCTAGCAGTTCACAGATATCTTGTCATTCATGCTTCTTTTTAGCTTAATAAATGTCTTTTGTGTCTATCAGAGATGAAATTTATCATCTAAGAAGGATTAAGGATATATTCCACTCAATTATTCTTCAAACTCTGTTTTCTTTTAAGGCAAACTGCAGGAATTATGCTTTATGGTATGATAAATTTCACCTCCCAACCATTTCTCAAATTTCAAATATATCCATTAGATCTTGATCAAGAACCTGCATTAGACAGTAGCCAAAAGAAAAAGAAGAAGATGCCTACATCTTGAAATATGCACAAGGTAGTTGTCATCCTAGTATATTTATATAAGTTTACCTAATATTACACCAGCTGTTCTGTTTTTCTCCCAAGAACTGGTTATAAATGGAAATTAGCAGCCGACAACTTAAGATGAATGCATATGCAGAAAGGAATACCAACAGAGAGATGCATCGACCACAGAATGGAATAGTAATAGAGAGATGCATACCTTTCCCCAAGCTTCATGAACACATATGATTCCAACAGAATGGTCCCAAGCAGGGGCATAGCCAGAGATTTTCTACAGCGGAGTCATATGTTCATATCAGAATGTTGAACACCCAAAAGAAAGCATATGCTAATTCAATGATCTAGTGGCATCAATATAATGGTTGAGTAAATCCATTAAACTTAAAGTAACCAATAAAGGAAGAGAGAAACAACTTTATGAGAAAAATTCAAATGTCCATGAAGTTATTTTCGTTTAATTTTGTTCTCCGCCAATAATTGCAGTATATTGTTGTTGAATGTGACAAAGCAAATGCATTTTTATCCATCTGTATTTCTAATAAAAAAGTATATACGAAAATAAATTGCTTGTTATGCAGTTGTAATGGGAACCTCAAAAGGTTCGTTTCTCCAAATAACTTTAGACAAGGGACTATATAACCCAAACAAGTATGTCTTTCTCGTAATCTCAAGAAAGCACGGAATATCCTATTTTCCTTGTGTTCTAAATGTATAGCATTACCCATGCAACTTCGCTAACTAACTCTCTTGTTACAAAACCAACCCAAGCTAGCTAGGGTCGGCCATATGAATCCTCAGTTTCCATGTCGTTCCATATGACCAGTCTCAATCCAATATTCAAAAAATTAGTCTCTCTAGTACCAGAAGTATTTATTTTTTCCTACTAGCGTACAAATCACTAAAAGACTACTAACATTGGACCTAAAGTAAACATACAATTTAATTTTATTGTTTATAGAAATTTAATTTGACAAGAGTGGGTAGCTCTAGTGGTGAGCACCCTCCACTTCCAACCAAGAGGTTGTGAGTTCGAATCACCCCAAGAGCAAGGTGGGGAGTTCTTGGAGGGAGGGAGCCGGGGGTCTATCGGAAACAGCCTCTCTACCCCAGGGTAGGGGTAAGGTCTGCGTACACACTACCCTTCCCAGACCCCACTAGTGGGATTATACTGGGTTGTTGTTGTTGTTGTTGTTTATAGAAAATTAACCAGGGTGAAATCTGTGCTAGCCCCGAATGCACATCTTAAAACATATTGATTAACCACAGAGCCTTTGAGGTTGCTGTTATTTGACCCCACTCAAACTATAAGTGGCTCCACTTATGGGTCCTAAGCCTACATTTTTAGTGACATGAGGCATAAACTCACTTGACTGCAGTTATCTGCATACAATCTGTGAGATTAAAAAATCACCTTCATAACTTTTCTGGTTGTTGCACGAAGAAGAAAAACTGATGCTCTACCAGAAGCCACCATCATATATTTGCACAAACTGCAGAGCAGAAAGAAATTGCATTAAGGAATGTGCAAAAACCATCAAAGAAATGTGAGAAAGTAACTACTTTTTATCCCTAAAAAGAGAGTCAGAAGAAAATGTAATAAATTTACAATTCAACTATTCATCGTACAAGGGAGTCTAATTTAGAGCATCGCTAGAAGAACATACAGAATACGACCGTTGTGATTCTGTCCTGAGGTAATGTAAAATAGGCTCCCTCAATCTCTAATGGATGTGATTCATGAGCCTCTGTCGAAAATAAATTAAATGATGGTAACTCAGTAGCCATCCACAATTCCAAATACACCTAATACCAAAATATTGCTAAGAAACAAGTTTCCTTCAGAGAAAGAGGGTGGTGGTGTTCGCTGGTGCTCTGACAAGACTAATCAAACAGATTAACGACAAGTATAATCGTCAAATATTGATCATTTCAGATGGATGTCAACAGCAGAATTAGCATGTCATCACAGAGGTCAAGTAACTAAGGATTATAAGCTTTTGCAAAAATTAACAAGAATCAGATGCTATTTGATATTAACTAACTTGAAGACAACTTATGTAACCAATGTCCTGCTAAAATTATTTCAGGTATGGACTTTGAAGAAAAGCAGATACCAAAATATCACACTGTTCAGTAAGAAATTGTCAAAAGCCTGTAGACTGCCACCTGCAGAACATTACTCTACGTAAAAACATGAGCTTATGACATGAGGGACCATTGTACACAAAGAAACAAGTATCTAAAGGCGCCTACCAGCACTAATAGCTACAATTTTAGCAATTTTGGAGGAGAAAGAAAGCTTAACATTACTGGCAAAAATAAGAAATCCTGAAACAGAGTTTTTTTTTTTTTTTTTTTTTTTTTTTTTGTTTTTTA